GGTTGAGAGGTATGAGTTTTCATCTTGTAGTTTCTAATTGGAGGAAAAAATTAGGCAGAAATGACCTTTACACGGATTGTTTTGCTGGTAGGATAAACGTTTGGAACAAGCCCTTTCACACAAAGGTTTGTGACTCCCTTCACCACCAAACTTTATCGCGTCACTTAACTTTGCATACCGTTTCGCTGCCAAACCACTGCATAATATATGGGGCAAGAGGCAAAGGATGACATCTGAAGGTGCAAAACGGAGGAATCTGCTAACATCATGTTAAGGCAAGTATGGTGCACGAAAAAACGGTAAGGTTTCACAAGTAATCGTGTTTTTCTTGCGCTGGTATGTTTCAACATGACGTTTGCCAAATAATAGTGCCCCAAAATCGACAACGGGATCACATCTTGATAGGAGCCCGGTGAACAGATGATACGCTTGAAAATCAGAACCAATTGCATACACAGACGCACAGCCACGCATAAATCTTGACTGGTACAATAACAATGGCAACAACTTTGGCGTGGACTTAAATGTTCCCCCGACGAACCAACCATGGTCCATTACGTGAATCAGGTTAGAGAGCACAGCCGATTTTCTCAGCTTGTAACTCTGACAGAAAGTGCGACACTTGAACAATGCCACATGAAATGTATTATTATCTAGCTAGCATTGTAATCCTCAATGTGGATCAGAAAAAATCGAAATAAACTTGGTTATGGTAGATGACGTCAACGACTGATTATTCAGATTGATCCCCTTATTTATCTACTCAAACAGGGTGAGCAGGATGTGGGGCTCCAGCTGATGTTTCAGAATCAGGACATGAAACAAGTAGTGAAAATCTAAGTGATTCTGGACATGAAACAAAGTTTTAACCCAGCAAACGAAACCTTTGAAGGAAGGTTTTACTTCACCTCATCCGTAACTGATTGTTTTCGGAAGTCTAAGGTAGCTAAAGTGCTTAGGATAACTCACTGGTCGAAGCTCGAAATTACTATGTACCGATTCCAGCCACGGCATCTCGAGTAGCATTCTTCTGGCTTTGTCGATACGGCGACCGCGCAGCACTTGCGCTTCCCCCGGGCAGTATGGCAGCTGCATAAAAAAGGGTTGCTCTGGCTGAATTATTGCTATTAAGCGGTACCCAGTAATAAATCTCCTTCTTCTTCTTCTTCAATCTGATTTTCAGCAGATTATTTTAACTGTAGTGCTCTGATAATTGGACGGGTAAACCTTAGTGATTACCGCTTCGCAAATTGAAGCTTTTAATGCAATTGAACAGGGCACACATTTGGTTACAAGCACCTGCCCGATGTAGTTTATTTGAATGGCCCAATCACTGAAAATATGTCGACACATTGCCAACCCGGGCAACTATACAGTTTATTTACCACCCGGTTTCTGATCAGTCCGTCAACCACAACCGTTGGAATTTCAAGGTCTCGTGAGCCAATGGCCCTCCTTGGTGCTGATGCATCCTGTGCCGGTGAAAGTAAAACCTTTTCAACCCAGCTTCCAGGCTAGTCACAGTGGTTGGCAGACACTTGATATACCGCCCATAACGGTTGCACTCTTGACGTTCCCCATTTCTCAGAGACTATTTTGGTCGTGTTCCAAGTGGATGACGCACAAGCTTTGAGTTTCTGAGAAGGTCGGTTAAATTGAATACGGTTCCTCAGAAGAGGTCGTGGCCCATCGATTCTTTGTTCATTTGCAGAACTGGGGTACATCAGGAGAGGCCCTGTGGACACCAAGTGAATCACAATCGATACTTCTGCTAAAACTGTAATTTTATCTTAGGGATATTACGGTCAAAATATTTTGCAATAATTGATCAGTTTTTACCTGGTTTCACCTTAGTGGGATACCTCTAATTTGGTCGTATTCTTATAGGTTTCAAAACACCATCAAATGACCGGGGACTGCACCGCCAAAAGGATAACCGTACTGACAGCATGTAGATCAACAAAATGGTTCTTATTGTGGCTTTATTATTGCAGCTACGATAACCATTCTCAGGGTTCAACTATGCAAGTGTATTCGGTACTCAACATATTTGTCATTGAACGTATTTTCAGCCGCCGAGGTCCATAATCCGCAGAGCTGCAATCTGCACAGCAGGCATCTGCATACATATTCTCAGCCAAGCAAATTGTTTGGTCCTAGAAAATTTGCAGGTTTGAATTTTCCGGGAGATTCGTTAGATGCGATAGTTGTGAGTACTTCTCGTCTTGACCATATGCTCTGATGCTCACTCTTTGGGTGGAATTTCTACTGGAACTGACTCAACATCTTCATACTACCAAAAATATATTAGATGAATAATAGTTTCACAAGATGATTGAAACTTCGTTCTGCGACGTCGTCATTTGAGGACTCCATCAGCACAAGTTTACGTAATTTGGTTTCTGTGATTTTAGTTGCTACATCCTGTTTAACGGCGAGCTAATCACACTACTGGCCAAAATTTACCTGGTTGTTCAGTGGGTGAATTTATGAGAGACAATCAAACAGATCTAGCGGGGTGTTTCCTCTACTGAAGTGCAACCGATTGTTTAAAATACTGCATTGAAATTCTTCAAATCCGTATTAAGATTGCTTTGAAAATTTCAGCAAATCAGAAGTTTTAGCATACATCACATTCCTGATTCAATGCACTACATCATCGAGTATGAACTAGGTTTCGTAGGTTGAAGATTCGGGATACCGATGGTCATTTGAATTCGGGCATTTTCAGCATGTTGCGGTAAAGTGTGATTATTATAATAAAAGTAGTTGATTATCACAACACCACCTCAGTGGGATTTACTAACCCGTCAGGTTGTTTAAACATCTAACTTTTTATGGGATCAGTCATTTCAGTACGAAACAGATGCAATGCCGACAGTGAATGATTGAACCAGATGCTCAAAATCATAACTTCTAAGACGCTGGGCTGATCGATTACTTCAGCGATCAATCGGAAACCGGCGTTCCTGAATTTCTTGACGTCCTCTCTATTGCGATTTCTGTGTGGTTTGAATGTCTCGGAAGGCATCCGGCATTCTGGAATACGTTTCAGAAATATGATCCTGAATACACCGGATTTATTGTGTCCTCACTCCATCTGAGTGTAAGTGAAGTGGGTCGGGTGTAATAAACCAAGAGCTTGTATTCTCCAACTTACATACAGCATACACGCGGGAACGTTGTTTTCGTCATTGTTCTGGAATTTTTATTTTGCTGTAGGCTTGTAGGCAACGAGGGCTGTCAATAAGAGGTCGATAAAAACAGCCTCAGATGAATGATTTCATCTAGCGTGCCCTGTAGGAAACTGATGCCAAACTAGCCTTCGCAGCTCTTCTGGAACGAAAACGCTTTCTGCGAACATGAAACGATCACCAAAAACGAAGGGTGACAATCGTGTTTGATAAAGCTGAAGCAAGTCTTCATTTGCAACATTTGGTGGCCACTTGGACAGGTGACTCGGCAGCGGATCTTTTACGGTTATCTTGCGTGCCAGAGCAAAAGTGATTAGAATTCCTTCGATGGCTTCCGTTAGTGTAAATCGTAGTTTTAGTTCAGCTGATATTTTAGCTATAACTGAATCTTCTGTGTCCGTTGGTTTATATCTCCTCATAGTTTCGATAATGCATCCACCTGACTGGTCTTGTCGGTAGATTTACTCTTGACGCAGAAGTGGTAACCGTGTACCACGGTAGCTCATCTTTCAAGTCGATTAACAGAATAGACCGAAACGTCGTTCTAGGACCCAAACACGGGTACTTGTGTTTTGTACCAGGAACTAAAATAAATTTCCGGTCATAAGGAAGCTTGTGGACCATTATGGCAGCAAACATTTTCACCAGGACTTCTTACTCGATCTGACGTTCACTTCGTTCTGTAGCTGTAAAAGTGCTAGCTACATGGGCTATGGCTTTTACCGAGCCAATTTCCGAGCCACTTTCTAATACTGATTCAAATATTTGTGAACGGCATTCTCCTCATTCCAATCGGTTGGTCTGTTGACCAGTGTAGCGTGCAAGTAGGTCAAAATGTGCTACCCAGGACACGACTCATCGGGCAAGGGTGCGTGATTTACAAACAAACCAATCTTTCTCAACAAAAAGGGCAATGAGCTGGCAACACTGTCGGCACCAGTCACCTCATTGGGCTGTCAGCCACTCCCAGAACCTTCGGTTATAGCTTTCGTTTGGGCGATTTGTGTACCGGTGGTATGGTGACATCTTTAGTTGTGTGATGCCCAAGCTCTGCAAACAACTCCTCAGCTCCTTTCTCACAAAGCATGGCCTCTGAATACTTAAGATCATTTGTGGAACCCCGTGGTTAGCCAGGATTTGACGCCTAACTACACCGCCTACTGTCGTCACTCGTAGACTTCATACGGCCGGCGCCTCGATCCATTGTCACAGGTGTTCTGTCACTATCACGATATAAGGAATTCCGCTGGCCGCCACTGGAAAAGGCTCATCATTTCAACTTAACATGGCTCGCCTATTTCGTAGACGATAGTGCCTTCACAGGATAGGTTGGCCGGTCTCATCTTTCATCAGTTGGCACCGCATAACCGAACACCACATGATACATCACCACAACAATCGTCCAGTTCGATGAGGGCCAGTAGGCCCTCTGCTGAAGTCGGTCTTACGTCTCGATGCATCATATGTTTGCCATCTCATCTCAACATTACCAGCATCCACCTCAGGACGCGCGCCATTGCGGGCAGCAGCTTATAAGAATCCACAGCTTCCCAAAGTCAACCGTCCGTAACACAGGATCCCGCCGTTAATGTTGTACGAATCTTCCAGGCTCCAATTCGACGACGTGATTGTTGGAACCAAGCATAGTCCTGAAGTCCTCATTTTTGTCTCTGGTTTTGACAACCAAATAGCTGGGTGGTTCCCCTTTTGTGGCAAGTGCCGGATCGTGAATTCCTACTCTTTCAACTATGGTGCCAAGATCTCAAGTGTCCCACGAGGATTTCTGGTTGTCTTAATCCATTTCAGGGGTTTGTGATCGGTTTCGATATGAAATCTTTGTACAAGCAGGTATGACCTGCATTTATCCATGGCTCAGACGATCATTAAACATTCTCCTTTAAGCGCATTTTCACCCGTGAACAGTTCGAAATATTGCTCGACCACGGAGCGTACTGATGTCACATTACAAGTCGGAAGATTTCGGACAGGCAGCTTGCTCACTGTAGTGCTAGGGCAAACTCGAGAACAAACTGCCCCCAGGATTGTCTGATCTATGTCTATGCTACACATACCCATTGCCTAGGCTGATTGCGTGCACTCACAAGCCGTCAATTTTCAGTCGGCATGTATCCACTATTCTCACTATTTGCTCAAGGGTTTGCATTCCCTTTCGTTTCCTCCCCGTCTCAGGGCTACCCGTTCGACCCTAGCAATTAGGCAGATCACTGTCTTCCTGTGTATTCTGGTTACGATCTGTATTGTAGCTTGTGTCACGGCGCTCATCGCAAACTACACGGGAGTATAAGAGTAATCAAAATTTGATCATATGCGACTGGTCCGTACGTGAACGTTGATTGTTGCAGTGGCCAGGCATTCCACACCTGTAGCATCGGCCATTTCGAGCGTGCTCCCCGAAGGTCACGTGATCGGTAGCAATGTTGGGACTATGATTATGAATATGGCGTTGGTTCACAATTTGGATGCATTCCGTGACCACCGCGAACGATTAATGACTTGGTCGATTCTATTCTCTTTACTGATTGTAGATGTGGTAGCTCTGAGGGTGCATGGTGTAAATCCCCCAGGAAGAGGAACTAGGGGGATCGACCGCTCCACAGAATGCCGCAACCCTTGTTTCCCCATATTCCAGATGTACCTTGGTGCATTTGTCCATTTCTCAAGTTTTTGACAGAGATATTGCGCAAATGTCGGTGTAGGCCTTAATCGGGTGGCATAGGAAATCAGTCACAGACTAAAAGTATCATCCGATTCTTACACTGAGAGGCTCGCCTGTTAGCTGTGCATCAATACCGGGATGGTTTTATGGAGGCGCCAGAATAATTGAAAATGTGACTGAGATACGATGAATGGAAAAGTACAGGAAATCATCATGGTGATCCAGGGGCACTAGATGTCGTAGCTCCCAGGTAATTTTCAAACATCGAGCGGACGAACACAATAAGCTCACCTTGCTATTTAGCGCATGAGAGGAATACGAACATTACAGAATAAATTAGGATGGCATAAAAATGTCGTACGGACTCGTTTGAAGAGCTAAATAGACAATTTGCTTACCAGACCCAAACCCGCCGTCATTATTATCAATATCCAGACATGTTAACACGTCATTGGTTCCCAACAGCAGATGGTAAGAAGAAAAGAGAACAACTCTGACCATGGTACTCCACGGTTACACAAGGACGCCAGAGAGACAGATGCATATTTTCATCCCTTCCCTGTTACGATGTGAACGGGGAAATTTCGCATCACTTGTCTAATATCACCTTCTGAGACGTTGATTATAGTATCAAGCTTCTTTGAATTCAAGTCCTACCATTTCCCGGGTCCCTGTACAACTCTAACTTATTTTTCATTACTCTCGCTAAACGCCTCTCGATGGTTCCGCAAAGGTGCTTCAGTATCGTTTTTTCAATTAGGCCCCATCTGCTCCGGTTTCTGACCTCTTCTCAATTAACCACAGTGGATGTCAGTTGCATGACTACCTCTGCGGTGCCGCAATGGTGTCCCTTTACTTTCGGACGACATTTTGCAGCACGATGATAAGATTGCCAGGATAAAAAAATGCACTTCTCCTCTGGCTCCGAAAGGTCATTACAGATGTTCTCTAAGGTTTTGATCAGTCGTTTAGCATTGTGCCTGCCTTAGTAACAGCCACATGATCTGTCTTGGTCTGTCTCGGTCTACACTAGTGCTCTTGATGCCGTGAGGACAGGCCGTATGTGGCCCGCAGTCAGGTAGCACAGCTTTAATAAATTGCAGACAGTGACCTTCAAATAGCGCGGGGCCGGTGCAGCTTTTGCACTCACCCGCATTCACTCAGATGTTTCGATTATACGTTTGTAGTTTACCCTTATCGGTCGGTCCTTTTTGACACCAGGCCCTGGAGTGGGAACAGCAGTTTGATATAACACCATCATTCCGTTTACTTTCCTCCGATATTTCTCTAAAAACTAGGTGTTCTTTAGGGTCGCCACCAGCTGTTTGCGAGAACCCGCCCCAAACATTCGCTGAATTCTGCGTGTTACCTGTCTTGTCCACGTGAAGTTCCCTCTTGCTACATCTTTGCGCAATATGGTAGTTCGTATAATAAAGATAATAAATAAGAAATATTGGTTCTTTTCTAAAACGTGCCACTCAAAATAAGCACGATGTTTGAGGTACTTCCGAATTTAAGACAGGAGAAGACGAAATGTCAGGGTTGGGCTCGAACCGCGGAACCCAATCAGTAAGTTCCCAACCCACAAACGGAGCTATTTTGATCTCTGTATTGACAACGTTTTCAATACAAGAAGAAGCGTCTGATAGTTGGTCTATGGTTTTCGTTGTGAATATGATAATCTGTGAGTAAAATGTGGGGTATAACACGTTTCTGTCATTCTTGTTACATGACTAGTCCGGGCGAAACCTGACATGGTGAGTTCTTCGCGTCTTGCTCCTAGTTCTTTTTGTAACAAAGGTTGTCATCTACGTTAACTAGTCGGTAGCTTAAGAAAACAAATTATCAATTCATATTTTGCTTGTCCGTGAAATTCCGATTGAGCCAAATATCATACACCTGCATAGGGTACTCTAGACATCCTCGGGCAAAATGTGAGATGTCCAGTTCTTTGCATCTCGCTCAACGTTGCGTCCGCTATTTCGAATAAGGAATGGATTCATTCACGTTAGTTAACCGACAGCCTAAGGACACGGATGGGCTGATCAAATTTTGCCCAGCCAGGGACGTTCGAATAAGCCAGCTACCACGATGTGTTCTAGCCATTCTGTGATGCTACATCATTCGCAAAATGTATCTTTGGGGCAATAGGAACACCCCGAATAATTTGCGCAACCATTGAAGCCATTCAGCGAATGCTGAGGAGTATTCATGCACGCAATTGAAGCACAACCAAATATGATCAGCCTACAGGCATTTCATGGAGGACGAGGTCGACGGGTGTTCACCAATGCGCAATGGACAGCCTGGATCAATTCCAGATAGTGTCCCTTAAACTAGCGCTTGGCAGTCGTAACTTTTACACTCAGCCCCAATTTTCTTGTTTGAAATGAAGCCGTTGTGTACTAATATAAGTAAGTTCTATCTCGCACCAGGCACGGGAAGGGGGAAAGCATTTGGTGGCGAAAACCTGCCCTAAACGATCGCATAATTTTGTGGGTAACCGAACCAATCTGACTGCCTTTTAAGTTGCGCTGGATCCACAATACCTTGCATTTTCCTCTTATTTCGTAGGGTGCAAGCGAATTGTCCGGGTGGAACACATTCCTCTCAATAGATGAAAATGCTAACGCTTAAGCTGCTGAATACTGATGGCATAGGTTCAAAACACAAAAACTTATCGGGACAAGAAATACATTATTCTCAATTAACCACAGTGGATGTCAGTTGCATGACTACCTCTGCGGTGCCGCAATGGTGTCCCTTTACTTTCGGACGACATTTTGCAGCACGATGATAAGATTGCCAGGATAAAAAAAATGCACTTCTCCTCTGGCTCCGAAAGGTCATTACAGATGTTCTCTAAGGTTTTGATCAGTCGTTTAGCATTGTGCCTGCCTTAGTAACAGCCACATGATCTGTCTTGGTCTGTCTCGGTCTACACTAGTGCTCTTGATGCCGTGAGGACAGGCCGTATGTGGCCCGCAGTCAGGTAGCACAGCTTTAATAAATTGCAGACAGTGACCTTCAAATAGCGCGGGGCCGGTGCAGCTTTTGCACTCACCCGCATTCACTCAGATGTTTCGATTATACGTTTGTAGTTTACCCTTATCGGTCGGTCCTTTTTGACACCAGGCCCTGGAGTGGGAACAGCAGTTTGATATAACACCATCATTCCGTTTACTTTCCTCCGATATTTCTCTAAAAACTAGGTGTTCTTTAGGGTCGCCACCAGCTGTTTGCGAGAACCCGCCCCAAACATTCGCTGAATTCTGCGTGTTACCTGTCTTGTCCACGTGAAGTTCCCTCTTGCTACATCTTTGCGCAATATGGTAGTTCGTATAATAAAGATAATAAATAAGAAATATTGGTTCTTTTCTAAAACGTGCCACTCAAAATAAGCACGATGTTTGAGGTACTTCCGAATTTAAGACAGGAGAAGACGAAATGTCAGGGTTGGGCTCGAACCGCGGAACCCAATCAGTAAGTTCCCAACCCACAAACGGAGCTATTTTGATCTCTGTATTGACAACGTTTTCAATACAAGAAGAAGCGTCTGATAGTTGGTCTATGGTTTTCGTTGTGAATATGATAATCTGTGAGTAAAATGTGGGGTATAACACGTTTCTGTCATTCTTGTTACATGACTAGTCCGGGCGAAACCTGACATGGTGAGTTCTTCGCGTCTTGCTCCTAGTTTTTTTTGTAACAAAGGTTGTCATCTACGTTAACTAGTCGGTAGCTTAAGAAAACAAATTATCAATTCATATTTTGCTTGTCCGTGAAATTCCGATTGAGCCAAATATCATACACCTGCATAGGGTACTCTAGACATCCTCGGGCAAAATGTGAGATGTCCAGTTCTTTGCATCTCGCTCAACGTTGCGTCCGCTATTTCGAATAAGGAATGGATTCATTCACGTTAGTTAACCGACAGCCTAAGGACACGGATGGGCTGATCAAATTTTGCCCAGCCAGGGACGTTCGAATAAGCCAGCTACCACGATGTGTTCTAGCCATTCTGTGATGCTACATCATTCGCAAAATGTATCTTTGGGGCAATAGGAACACCCCGAATAATTTGCGCAACCATTGAAGCCATTCAGCGAATGCTGAGGAGTATTCATGCACGCAATTGAAGCACAACCAAATATGATCAGCCTACAGGCAT